CTACTTTTCAATAATATAGACATTTATTATTGTGGCGAGCATTTGGCCCAAGAATATATATACAAAAGACGTATATATATCAATCAACTGAAGACAAGAAGAAATTAAGAAAGAGTCTACATTAACATCCATTCATCTAGTTTTTTACAAAGTGCCTCTCAATGAGACAGACACTAGAGGCTGGATTAATACTAGTGTAAACATAGCAGTTTACAGCTGCAGGGTTAACCCTAGATGGACCTGGCACCCAGACCACTTCATTGAGCTGGCCCTTTAAGTTTATTAAGGTGGGCTTGCGGTGTGGGTGCACACACTACATCCCCATAATCAATGACTGGCACTAGCATTTGTTGCACTGTTTCCTTACTGTAGGGTTTCAGAGTGAAGGCCAAAGGATAGATTGGGGTCTAGCAACATACCTAGATATTTAAAAAAGCAGACTGCTGTCAGTGTGCTATTTGAATTAGTTCTGATACACAGTTGTTGATTATGTAGTTTACGTAATTTAGGTACAGTTCCAAAGATCATTGTAACAGTTTTGTCAGTGTTTAGGAAGAGCTTGTTATCCGCTATCCACTTTTCTACCTCTGTAAATTGGTTTTGGAGCACAGCCTCAAGCCGCGGTAGCTTAAATTTACTAGTGTAGATCACAGTGTCGTCTGCATACAGTTGAGGATTTGCAGATGTTAGGCAGATCATTTATAAGTAATGTGAATAGCAGGGGGGCTGAGTATGGATCCTTGGGGAACACCACAAGTGACCGGAAGAGGGAGGGAAGTGCTATCAGAATTGGCCACATATTGGTTTTCAATCGGTCTGAAACATCCGATCAAAACCATTTTAGCGGATGATCACCAATGCCTGAGTTTTTAAGTTTTTGCAAAAGAATGCCATGGTCTACTGTGTCAAAGGCCTTGGCAAAGTCAAGAAATATAGCTCCAGTTAAGTCTGCTTGTTCCATGGCAATTTGGATGTCATTGCAAACTTTTAAGAGGGCAGTTGAAGTTGAGTAATTTGGACGAAAACCTGATTGATCAGGGGTCAGAAAATTTGATAGTTGATAATATTCACATAGTTGCACGTGGACGCATTTTTCCAAGATTTTTTACAATACTGGGAGCAATGATATTGGGTGATAGTTAGATACCAAAGTATTGTCACCACTTTTGTAGTCTTCCAAAGTTGGGTATCTATACGGACACCAGTGATTCATTGAGAAGAGTAGTGACAGGTTTAGCAATTGCTGGCGCACTGAGCTTCAGTGACATTGCTGGGATTTGATCTGGTCCACACTGGTTTTCCATTTTTAAATTATTAAGAGGTTTATTAACGACACTAACAGGCGGTCAGGATTACTACTTGATCCAGCATGCAGAACTGTAGCACACCTAAGATTAACGTCTTACCGGGCCATAGAATGGCCGCACTTAACGTACCAGAGAATAGTCAGAATACTTGCCGAGGTCGGGAACACAGATGAGATACGATGAGGGATACCAGAATACAGGGAAGTCAAAAGGAAGCCAAAGTCAATAACCAGAAATAAATGCTCAGGAACTGTCACGTATTCATCCGCTTATAGAAATGTGGTTAATGACATTTACTGTCCACACAGGAAAAGTTGTGCCGAGCAGCAACCTAATCCACAAAAGGTTTAATGCTGAGCAGTAATTGTGCAAATGAAACATGGTCTCATGTATTCATCCGCTTATAGAAAAGTGGTTAATGACATTTACTGTCCACACAGGAAAAGTTGTGCCGAGCAAATGAAACCTGGTAACTGACTTTGGGGTCAAAGGCCGGTTACAGCCTATCAGAAAGAAAGGAGGGGTATTTAGGACCAGTTCTCAGCCTGCTCAGTGCCCTGTCGTGGTTTCCCTTGTGGTTGTCCGAGAGCGCGTTCCTGTTTATAGTTTTCTACCTGGTTTTTTACTTTGGCTTTGTTTATTGACTTCTCTATATTCTGGTATCCTGACTCCTGGCTTTCCTCATCGCTGTGTCCCTTTCTGTGTTCCCTGACCTCGGCTAGTATTTTTGACTATTCTTTGTACGTTAAATCCGGCCATTCTAAGGACCGGTAATACGTTACTTATTTGTCATCCGTGCTGTATAGTTCTACGTGCTGGATCAAACAGTAATCCTGACAGGAACACACTCTTGGACAACCACTAAGGGAACCACGACAGGGCAATGAGGGAAGGCAAGAAAGGAGTTTAAATATGTCTCCTTTAATTCCGATTTAATTCCAATTGGCCATACCCAGCCTATGACGCCAGAATGTGCGTGCGCATCCGTTGCGTCGTCAATACCGTAGGCAGACTTGGGGCTAAAAATTGATATGGATCCGCAGCAGCCAACGTCTTTCAGTATGCTCAGACACACCAGCATCTCCACCAATGCAAGGAAGATAGTCATCCTCACGGATAGGTGACATTACCCCCCAGCTGAAGACCACCCACCGGGCGGGCAGGACCAGGTTTGAGGGGAAACTTGGTGTGGAAATGACGAATCTTGCAACCAGCATGAATATCGGAACCCGGAACCAAAGAATGATCGTCAGGTCCATACTCCCTCCAGTCAACATATTGTAAGGAACCGCGAGAAAACCTGGAATCTAATATGGAAGAGACTTCATACTCTTCCTGTCCAGAAACAACCAACGGGGGAGGTCGAACACTTTGGACAGTATATTTATTGCAAACGAGTGGTTTAAGCAAAGAAACATGAACGGTATTATCAATATGCAAGTAGGCAGGAAGAGCCAGAGAATATGAAACAGGAATAATTCTACGAAGGATATGAAAAGGACCAAGGAATCTGGGAGCAAACTTCATGGCTAGGAACTTTGTTTGACGTTGCACGATAGCAACACCCTCTCACCCACTTGGTAAAAAGGGTTTATCAGCATAAAATTTGAAACGATCAGCCGCACTTTCGAGAGCGGAGTGAACTTTGGTCCAAATATCACGAATAGAAGTGGTGTCAGAAAAAACAGCCGACAGAACAGTAGGATGACGACCGTTATTAACAAAGAATGGACTATATCCAGAAGAGTCATTGTTAGCATTGTTCCTAGCAAACTCAGCCCAGTGTAGTAATTCGGACCAATTATCTTGTGTCAGTATGTGTCTCTCTCTCTTTGTCAGTGTGTGTGTCTCTCTCTCCATCAGTGTGTGTGTGTGCGCGTCTGTCAGTGTCAGAGTGTGCCTTCTTGTGTCTGTTTAGGTATCTACACCCTCTGATCACGAGAGATGTGTTTTTACTCACCTTCTTTCCAACTCCATGCCAGTTTTATGCGGCTTGTCCGGCCTTCACGGGTGAGATAATCAATCTTTAAGATCTCCGATAAGTCAATGCTTTCCTATAGGAAAGCATTTGGAGGATATTGCGCATGTTTTCTATATGTAACATTCAGAACCTCCATGTAGAGCGTAGAGACGCTGAACAAATGTGCTGCACACTGTGCAGCACTGACAGAGGACTCTAGTGGCGTCTGAGTGACTATCACTAGAGGTGATAGTGATAGGCAGCAATGTAAACACTGACTTTTCCCAGAAAAGGCAGTGTTTACATTGAAAATGCTATGTGCACCAGAACAACTCTATTAAGCTGTAGTGGTTCTGGTGACTTTAGTGTCCCTTTCAAGAATTGTATATTTCTTGTTAATTAAGCTTCACTTGTTTTAAAAAATCTGGCTCCTAACTTTAGCTGGCTCCTATATTCCAAACAAATTTGTCAAGCCCTGTGTTAAATAAATAAATTTATCCAAATTAGAGATTCATTTTCTGTAGAAGTCAGGGTGGCGTTTGTAGCCTTTTGCCACCTTAATCTCAACTTGTCACACAGCACGATCAAACTATACCTGACTGGCATCCAACATCATTTGCTAACCACATATGTCAATCACAAACCTTTTTTGTCTTAATAACCCATTAAAACATACTAAAAAGGCATACAAAGGCTAGACTGCCCATAGGCACTTAAACCTATTGATGGACCTAAATTCCTGGCACAATCCGATTTGCTTGACACATGCCGTTTTGAGAATACTAATTCTATTTTAAAAATAGCTATATACATAGCTTACTATATTTTTCTTCTCCGGACTGAATTTAGCATAGAAAAGTCCTCTGACTGCTCTATGTATAAAAAGAACTTCGCACAATAAAAATCAACCAGACTGGCTCCACCAACAGAAATCCCACTACACCCTACTCGCAGTAAATGGTAATGGTGCCCCATTAAGGTCCTATATCATTATTTCCTTACACTTGCAGGGTATTCTAGATACCCCTCTTTAGCTTCTTCATGGGAAACCCCTTGAATCCTTTAAGTTAATTTTATATGCAAGTACCCTCTTTGTTAAACTAGATTTGGACCCATCTTCCTTTTTAGGACACTGACACACACGAGTTTCCTTTTGTACAGGCATTTCTATAGTTAATTGTCTTTATACCCCCTAAATGTACTGTGAATAGTTTTATAAATGCTAAATATTTAGAAGAAAATATATAATAAAATAATTATGCGATAAAAATTGGGCCAATCTAGGAGTTTTTCCTTAGACAGCTAAAAACTGCCTAATTTCACAAATATTATCGATTTCAAAGAAAACTAATAATATTAGACTATAACTTTTCAAGTAGAAGAGGCAGTTGGGTAAAAGGTCAACGCTGCTTTCATTTAAGTTACTATATGCAGATTTTCCCACAGCAAAATACTCATTATGTAATAAACTGTGGGAAGACGTGCTCTGCTCAACCAAACACATATGTAACAGAAGGGAACGGAAGCATGTTAAGCATGTAGCTCTGGATAATAAATAGTTTGTGTGGTCTTCAGAGGGTGAAGATCTCATTCTGTTTTGTATCTGTTCATTATCTTGTTCATATGGCATTTCGTCACAAAATTAACCAGATTCAATCCTAGCTTTCAGACAGAGGCAAGATTGTCAACGTGCATGTCTTGATTGTGCCAATAATGTTCAAGAAGAAACCATGAAAAATAAAATAACATTTATTCACATGCCAAATAAAAGCAGTCACCAGCATTCCTTAAAAATGAGAAACCTGTTTAACGTTTACATTCAGATACAAATATATGCTTGGAAATTTGAAACGTTTCATCACGGAAAATTTTAACAAGAGAACTTTTCCCTCATAAAATAAAATATATAGGAACCAGAAACTATAATATATAAAATACTATGTTTAGAAATATATCAAAATAGACATTGACATTAATATATCTTTGTGGAGTTTTGTAAAGGAGGAAGCGGTAGGTATTTTATTATAGCACTTGTGTTTAAAAGACTTAGAAAACAAACAAAACTGAGATGCCGGTAAGGTTTATTAAGGTTTCCCTTTTACAAATTTCTTGGCCTCCTTTAAAAGCAAATTCACATCCTCGCTTCCCTTGTCTTCTGAATCTGGCATCCAATCAGAATCTTCATCAGTGTTGTCAAAATCCTCTTCCTCATCGTCGTCTATGAAGCTGTCTTCCAAGTCATATTCATTAGGCTCGCCATCATTATCGCTATCATCCAGAGCTCTTTTCCCTTAAAATGAAAGGATAAAAATAATTAAAGCGGTTACAATTAAAATGTTTTAAGAATATTAAACTCAAAAGCCCAAAGAAAGTTACTATTGGTAGTTACATAGCACCAACACATTTTGCTACGCTTTATGATATAAGTGTGATATTTTGAAGACGTTCCTGCTCAAACATGCTTACAATCTGAGAGTTGAGTTATGTGGTCTGACCAGGATTCAAACCCAAGTTTCACAGTTCTAAGACAGTTTGTGGGTTTAACATAACCCACCACAGAGATTTTGCACTCCACTTATAGCAAATTAGCAGAATAAAGTATCGGTGACCAAGCACTACCCATATGAAACATGTTTTGGCAGTAATGAAATAGACCCCTATAGAGTCTCTATGTACTGGAGCAGCAGTAATGCTACAGACCAGTGGTTACCCAATCACTGCTATAGACTGGTTACCCAGCAAAACAACGGTGGTTTGCTTTTTCAACTGGTCTGATTACAGCAGAATACAATAGCAGTGAATATATATATATATATATATTAGTCTAGAGGTTACCACATGCTCTAACCAGCATACAAATGGACTGATGCATCTCAAATCCATGATGTGTAAGGTCAAAGAGTAACCATGCTTATTGGCCTAGCTGCATGAATCCCCCCGTTCCATTTTTAAATGCATAAAGCCCTTTTGGTAAAGGGTCTCCAATCCACTGGAGGGGGGAATTAGCAACATAATTTGGTAGATTTTACAGCATTTTTTTTTTTTTTTTAATTGGATTTATCTAAACCCAGGGATTTATTATTAATGCCAAGGTTTAAGAGTAAGTATATAATTTTTCATTAATTTTTAGCACCTGTTAATTTTTTTACCAGCAGTAAGCATGGTTAATGGATGAGAAAACAGCGAAAATGTTAACATTGTTATCTTTTTGCATGTAATTAAGTCAATAAATAGTCCAGGTAATACACAAAATTATCCATTCTAAAATACATTCACAGTTTCCAGAAGATTTGTGGCAGTTTCTAAATTTCTTACATCAATTAAACAATTAATATTGCTCATCACTAAATTATTAATAAACCAGAAAAAATAAGTGAAAAATTAAAACCACAACAATAACTTTATGAGGACTTGGACACTACAACAACCTGTTTTGCCCCCCTACCTCCCCCCCCAAAAAAACACCCTAAGAACTTAAACAAAAAAAAAAACCACATACTTTTTGGTACAGGGTATTTTAAAAGGATGGAACAGAAATGCTTACCACTTGAAAGGGTGGGGCATAGAGTTTAAAATGATTACCACTAGATGCCTCCTCTCCCAGTGCACAAACAGTCCCTAGCCTTAGACATTAGCAAGATGGTGAACCCAAAACACAAGGCGTTTTGCATTCTTAAGTTTAGTAAGTCTGAATTTGTGATTGCAAAGCAGTGTGTGTGTATGTGAGAATGGTGTTTTGACATTGATCCGGCAATGCGAAAGAGCATTCGCCATTGGTACCGACAATTTGAGTTAACAGAATGTTTACGGATGGGGTAGAGCACAGGGCGACCACACACTTTAGAGGAAAACATGAGAAGAATTAAAGAGAGTTTTCAGTATAGCCAAAGCCATTCCACTTTTCGCCAGCTAAGAACTTGCAATCTCTCATAATTGTCTGACGTGTGTTAAGGCGACGTTTAATCATGAAGCCATACCGGTTGCAACAGGCAAAGGCTCTTCATGCAGGAAGCAAAGGAAAGTGTGTAGAATTTAGTGATGCAATGTTAAAGAACATGGAGGACAACCCCCTCTTATCGGGTTTGATTTTTAATGATGACGCAACATTTCATCTAAGAGGTGAAGTTAACTGTCAAAATGTGCACCTATGGAGATTATGGAATCCATGCAAAGCTGTAGCGAATAACCATAATTCCCCGAAAGCAAACGTGTTTTGTGCAAACGTATCTCGAAATGTTGCAGAACTGTCTCTTTCCACATCTTAATAAAGATTTTGATGACTTAATTTTTCCACAAGAAAAATGTGCAGTAATGGCTCCCATTGGCGTGTTAGGCACCCATCCAGTGTATTTTTACTGCTTATTGTTTGAAAGGAAGAGCTTCTTTTCAATACGAGTATTACAATCTTCCATCCCAGGACTCCTCTCTAGAAATTCAAAGTGGTCGTTTGGCGGTCTGGCACTCGAAGGTTGACCGACTGCTGTATGCACTGGTTCACACAAGTCTTACAAAAAGGCTGTCAGCATAGGACGCCATTCTCCCGCACTCTTCACTCAGCGCGCGGCCACACCCCCACCCCTTCCGGCGTGCCACCTCATTACGCCCTCTGCTAATTCAGGTTTTGAGTTCAGGTTAAAAGTTTTTTTTAAAGGACACACTGCCTTAATGTTTATAGGTCACATGGGACCCCAAGACTTGGTGCTACACTATTGGCCCGCAAGATCTCCAGACATTACACCCTGGGACTTTTTTCTTGTGTGATACGTCAAAGAATGTGTTTTTGTGCAATTTTTACGACTAATCTTGATGAGCTCAAAAAAACAGAATCACGGCAATGTGACTTCATTGAAAGAAGTCACTTTGAGAGCCGTTTGGGATGACAAAGTACGGTCAACATCAGCTGGAGGGCATATGGAGCATTTATAAAATGGTTAGGAAAACTTGATAACTCATTCAACCATTTGTAACATTTGGTGTAATCACATGTTGCCATTGTGAAAAATATTTCTTTGAATTTGGGTCCATAATTTTGAAACACCCTGTATTATAGCTAGCAATGCATAACTTACTAATTAAATGAACGAATCCCTCTGTGGCATCATATCTGCAAATAGAACATGCAAGTCACGCTCTATAACAGGAAATTTTCAATAAAGCAGCTGGGCCAATGATGTCACCGAGGGACTTTAAACCAACTTTCTCTTTATTCTACATCTGCTGCGTTTTCATTTAGCAAAGTGTATAGATTTCCTTTACTTGGCACAGAATAACAACTTAATGTTGTATGCATCTTAAAGTAACAGAAAGATAAATGTCCCCAAAATTAGTTTTTAGGACTATAGATGGCAGAGTTTAAGAAGATGCACCTTACCATGAATTACACATTAACTTATATATTATGTTAGCTGATTTAATTTTTAGGCAACAAAATCAATTATTAAATTAAATGAATCTATAAAGGAGGATTAATGCTTTAATAAATCAAGATTGGATGCAAATATTGGCTCCTTTGAGGTTTATGATTTGTTCTGCTTGTAACACAATGCGGAGGCATCACTGCATGACCTTATGTATATTGCATTGTTCATTTTTATTGCTCCAAATTATATTATTGAAAGCTATGCACCTATACACATGGGACATAACAGGCAAGAACCTTGTAACTAAGTCAATACAAGTTCGGCTCACACTTGGATTTTATTCTACGTGTGAAGTGAAGTACACAAAATGCATGTTTATTTCCAATGTAAAATTGCCAATTTACATTAAAATAAACGCATGGAAACATGATTAACCTGTTTAGGTCTACAACAGTCTGTGTTAGCATGACATCTATAAAGTGTGCAACATTCCTTCTTAAAAGAATTGAGCAAGGCACTGAGAAGCTGAACCAAGCTCAGCATCTCTTCGTAGACGTCCACTGGTTTAACGCATCTTTTTTGGTCTACACATTGTCGTGAAATTGCAGGTTTTCAAAATGTAAAGGCAGAAAAAATGTAAATATCAGACTCTTTTCGATTTTTGATGTGAACTTTCAAAAAATAAATATTCAGAAATAAAAACGAAATTGTTAGGAACATTTTCAACAACAAGACAACTACAGCACTCTGACTGTACAAGGCTCCATATTTATTACAGTTAGCAAGTCTCTATTATCAATTGTATCTCCTTTGGAAAAAGTTCATTCAAATTGTGAAGTGGTCTTCTGTGTACAGGTCTGTTTTGGTAATTTTGCAGGATTTCCATGGGTGTGTGGTCTGCAATTCCAAGAGTTTAGGTCATTGTCATGATGGAATGTGAAATTCCTCATCATCTTTTTGACAGAGGAAAGGTTTTGTGATAAAATATCTTGAGCTATTCATTATCCTATCTTGATGAGAGCTCTCGACTCAGCTGAAGGGAAGCAGCCCCAAATCATGATGTCCATGAGAGGTTTATTGATTTTGTGACAAACATTTCTTGAACAATGTAGGCTTAAAAGTTCAACATCTTGCTATGCCATATCCTATTTTACCGCATGGTTAGAAGTGACCAAATTAATCTTTTTTACCACTGGGATGCAACCACAAACATTCAAGCAAATCTTACAGCAGCAGCGAACTTTAATTAGAGTTTAATTAGAATCACTGTCCCTAATGGCAGGTGTACGATATTTACCTACTGTCCTTATTTAGAATGTGACAGCGTAACTCTGAACACAGCTGGAGTGCCCATTATGATGTGGTGTATAGACATGCAATCAATGTGCTGTAGGTTTTATTTTTTATTTAAAAAGCTCCTAATAATTAACTATTTGTTTTTACTCTGGATATTTGTTTGTTGGAAGATCAGATTACAGATGGAAAAGTCTGACATTTACATAGTTGTAATTTCTGACTTTAAAATTTCAAAAACCTGCAATTTCATATGGATGTGCAAATATATCTACTTACGACATTCTTTACCCAGAAAAAGGATGACTTCTATTTGTAATGTTTTTACCTTTATATTTGGGTTTCACATAAAAGTTATATGAACTTCTATCTTTAACCAGTATATTATTTTTAATATTAATTCCTACTAAATTAAAATAATGAACAGACATGAACAATAATTACATTAAAAGTCATTTAAGTGATATGTTAAGCAAAGCAAACTGCTTGTTTTAAATTCACAAACCTCATGGTAATTAAAAGAACGCTATATTGACTTTTCACACTACTTAGTAGATATATCCCCAAAGAAAACATGCATATACCCTTCTGCAAGTTTCTTTGGTGGTATATGAAAAACCAGCATGTGACAGCAACAGAGCTGTTGTCTGCAGACTGTACAAGAATGTTCTTTGACTAGTCCAGGGCCTCTCACTGAGAAGCCTCTGTGCTAGAGCAGCCCACACAGAGTAGCAGATTTCCAATGCTTCTCAATGAGTTTTAGTACAATAGTCTGAAGCCCAGAGCGTCTGCCACTTCCATTAGCTTTGTGGAGCGAGAGAGAGAAAATTTCCCTAGTTGATTGACTAACAGCAACCATGTCTTATAAGTTTTATCGAAACCAGCACTTTTCTAAATTGTCTTTTTTTATAATCTTTATTTTTGTAGTGCATAGTTTAACAAGAATGTTTGCAGAGACATTTCACAAGATAATATACAATAGGGGAAATAACATTGTCATGTGAGAAATCAAGAGTAGAACTGTACTTTTTATATTAATAATAGATTCTAACACACTGCTCAGTCATGTCTAGTAATATAGAGAAATGGTAAAGCATACTGGAGGTAAGACATGGTGAATAGTAAATAGGTAGAGGAAAACATATGGAAACACAGGTCTTCACATACTGCATCCACTGGGACCATACGATGGGACTCCACCCCTGCACCAATCAAAGCATATGTAAAAGGTAAGGAATAAGGGACACAAAAAGAAAGACCAAAAAAAACAAGATAAAAACAAGCATACTGTGCAGATGATGAGCATGGATCTCCACTTAGCCGATCCCTGTTAGTGGCAGGAGTAGGGTGCAGTTCGAAGAATTCAGCTTTTTGTGTATAGTGTAGTGCCAGGGCAGGGATCATCTCCAGCACAAGGCCAGGCAGGGAGCCAGTATTCGATAACCACAGATCAGGGAGCTAGAGAGTACCAAGCCTTTCCCTTTGCTGGGAGATGCAGAAGATAACAGCGCTTACCATCCGGATATTCTACGTCTTTAGCTTGCGTGGACGATGACGGAGGACATTGCCTTGGGTGATCTCAGCCCAGGATGGCAGTTGGTAGCTTGAGGGAGAGAATGCCCAGTAGTTATGCTCCAAGGGGATCCCCTCTTCTTTGGCTCTGTGTGACTCCGGACGACCTTCAAAGGCTGAGGCAGTGATGCAGTCGGAGTTTTCAGCCAAAAATGATTGAAGATGTCATGGAAGTGCGATAATATATAATCAACAGAGCGGCTGTTAGATAGCTGCGATGGGCCCATGCTCCACTTGTCAGTGAGTGGGGTAGATGCCATCTTGGGCAACCAGGCAAGCTGAATCATGTCCTGTGGGCACAAGAGTAGTGCGGTAGAGACCGCTGAGGACAGTCTAGTGGAGGACCGGGATAACCCCCACCGGTCCCAAAGGGGGGTGAGGTGGGTTTAGGAGCACAGTGGTTACTGCTTTAAGATTCACGAAGCAGGGAGATCGTCAGCCTCTTCCCAGGCCAGTCTTTAGTAGGCCACAACCGGACTGCTTGAACTCCCAGTGGAGTATCTGCGTGGACGTAGGAGTGACCTCTATCCACAGAGTACACAGTAGAAGCAGGATGTACCCCTGGTTGAGATTAGCACCCCAAAATCTGCTAGGTATTCATGAGCTCGTGCTCTGAATGTCTGATCAGTCTGAGAGCCAGGCTCCGCCCCTTTCAGATGAAGTATTTTTGTTTCTGGTGTGTTCCTTTTAAAACAGGGATGCATACAAGCAACTAAAGGTGAGACAACCTTATGGGATAAGGTTGTCTCAATGTATAGAGTTTTAGTATTTCAGTTCTGATTTCCAACAAACTCAATCCATGCTTTTGAGGTGGTTTTGGTGTATAGATTGTCACGAACACACCCTACTTCAGGAGTGTGCGTGACGTAGTTGTGGTGGTGAAAGGGTTAAAGTTCACTATCTGTCTGCACTAGACAGGAAATAATGACAAAATCCCCCTTTAACACCACCCACACTTAAACATAATAATATAAATATTACTATTTGAATGCTGCCACCACCAAGACAATTTATAAATGGGGTGCCTTGGTCCCCCAGGTAAATCAATAATAAAACCCACCAAATACCACTTAGCCCAATATTTAAGGAATTGCAAAAATACAAATTAGTCCCTTCAGGTAATGTGATTCTTTACCAGACAAAGGCAGAACGTAATAAAAAAATATTTATTATGAGCAAAAAATAGTCACAGTGCATACAAAGATATAGATGACAATCAAAATGATTGACACCAACAACAGATAAAAACCAAAAGGGATAACATAACAGTTCTAATCAATTTTTCAAAATAACACTTCTGCCCCAGGGGGTCTCTGGTAAGAAAAATGGTGACTTACTTAGAATTAGATTCTGGCCCCAAGCAAGTACAATGCACCCTTCAGGATCATTAGAGATGTAACCTGTGGATTACCACGCCTCAGCCAGAGGTGGAGTTAAGGAATATCTATAGAGACACTATGTGACCACCCCTTGTGTCCAGACTCACATCAATCCAAATGGAAACGTTTGCTTCTATCTTCTCTTATGAACCTGCTACAGAAATAATAATTGCATCTACGCATTTGTTATTATTTCCCATTCCATAAATATGTCACTTCTTAATTGTAACCCAATATAGCAGACATTAAAAAATGTTGTGTGTAATATTTGTACACTGTATTTTGGCGTTATTTATGTCAACTGCCTGCTTCTTTCCCAGACATAGAGGCGCCTGGGCAGGATTACTGTACTTTGAATGGAGATGCCAGGCTGGGGGTCTGTGTATAAAACCCTGTACTTTTATCAGTAAACATTACTTTTAATCCTTCATCAAGTCTAGGCTGATGTTTGGGTTAGAGCTACAATCCCTTTCGCCTTCTGGGAAATATGGAGAAGCGCCCAGCGCAGATACACGATCAGAGTATAGGAGATCTGCTACAAGTTTTCCTTAAAAAATTAGACCCCTTTTCCATGAAGTGTGTAGGAAGAAAGTGTGTAAATCTCAGCTAGAGGAGGTGTAGCTAGGGCAGCATAAATAAAGTCATTTGACTCCTAAAGAGCAGAGAATTGAGCAAAGAAACTGCAAGGGCGTATTCTATACACCAACACTGCTTCAATGAGCTAAAGTTGCTTTGGTCCTTAGAGTATACATTTAAAGCAAAATAAAATACGCTACCTCTACCTAGTGAGTATAAGAGACCAATAGCAATTACTTGTGTCTCCACAAAACCCAGGAAAAGATTTCCTAAGGAGTAGACACCTATTTGTACCATTGCGTCCAATTTCAGCAATTTCTTCTTACATTTGAAATATGCATTTATTTATTTATTGCTTAAGCAAGTTTGCCTGACTATTCGAAAAAAATATATAAAAAAAGTCATCAAATCGGTTTTCACACTTTAAAATTCACCAGAGCTGTTATTTTGCAGTAAGCTGAGATGTGCTTTCGTGATAAAACATACGGATAGTGGGGACGCTCTGACAGTGTTATGGTTTGGAATACCAAGTTGAATATTTTATTTTTACTTTTAATAAATAAGATACGTATTAACGGATAATATATACCTTTTTTTGTATCTCTTTTCCGTAGCCGTCTGCCTGTTTTTCCAAGAAAAAAAAAAAAGAAAAATATTTAAATACATAAAATACAAAAACTCCAACATTTATAACTAACTTAAACAGTTGCAAAACACATTGGGGTTACTGGCAATCAGCAGCTGTGGGACAAAGCTGTCTATATGGTCCATTAACTGGTAACACAACTTTAGTTTCCATGTTGATTACCAAGAAAAGATAGGGAATTATAATACACAACCATTAAAAAGGGAAATGTAATTT